CGTCTCCAACCATTATTAGTCTCAAAGTGTGTTCCTCGTCATCGAATTAGAACTATTTGATCTATAGGTAAAAACGTTTAGAAATAACTAACTGAAAGGATTAAGTAAAGTCATAGGTTAAATACTGTAGGAAAATTACTATTAAACAAGAAAATGTGGTGTTATAAGTATGTTACAACATGTGAATATTTTAAGTTAAACTTTTAAAAAGTGTGATACTTTTAACTTTTACTTTCTAATAAGAGAAGATTTAATCCAAGTATTATAATAAAGTGCATCATATAAGGTACCAGAAAGTGAACTTTAAGTAACTCAATAACTGTAGTCTCGAAATACCTATGCTATATTTTTTAAAACTATGTAATATAGTTTGCACAAATATACTAAAAGAAAGTATTAAGCTGCATACCGGTAATTCTGTTTTAGGTTTGGCTTCAGGACACACATTATCTGTAAAATTAAAATATTAGTTTGTTAATTAACATCTTCAACACTGCGACAATGTGGGTGATTAGAATTTAAATATATTACAAAGTTTAAACTGCTAAGAAAAAATCTTTATAATGACTTTAAAGTAACTAAATATATAGCTTTCAAAAATGACAAATTAACTTACAAAACATTTTAGCATTTGTGTGTCGAAGATGTACTTCAAGTTCTTTGCCTGTGCACTTTTTTCCATGTCTTTTTGGAGTTGGATTATCACAAAAACGATGTCTCTTGGCCAAATTTTCAGTACACTTCCAGAAAGACCAGCTTCCCCAGCCACCATCAGCTATGTGTATATAATATTGTATTAGTTCCAGGAGATGTAAAATTTACCTATTCTTCATAAAATATTTACAGTAAATCATATATTGGTGTCTCAACCACATCCAAATTATGAACATTTTTGTCCTTTGTTTTCTAACAATAATAAAACATAAGATACTAAACTGAATGTATTATTGGTATATATACAAGTAAGTAGGTATAGATATAATAATATTCACTGTTCATGAACACTCTGTGTTTATGTAAGAAAACATGAGTAGTAAAATATTATAGGTATTTGTATACTGTGAAACGAAACAGTAGAAAGTGGTTAACGCTATGATTATTATTTCAATTAAAATATATTAGTCAAACATTTTTGCTATATCAAAACAAATTACATGTGAACAAAATAGCTATCCTTAAAACCTACTATTTTTTGTTTATAACATCGTCATACATTTTAAACATCATATTACATCATCATCATAGATTCTCAACATCATATTACATCATCATCATCATAGATTCTAAGCATCATCTATATTACATTTACAGTATCCTTATAGGACCTAAGAATCTTTAATATAACATATTTAACCGGCAATTAAAGAAACACAACAGTCTAAGCACAAGAATATGACAGACTTTTCTGTGAAGGAAGAAAATCAACCTTCCAAAAGTGCTCTGTTATCAGTTTATTTTCAATTGTCATTTATAATTTTTTCATCCCATGTGTCAAGTTTTTATAGGGATGGATTCTTTACAGTAGGTGTTTGTGACTTCTTGGTGATAAATTTCAAGAATAAACAGAGAGCACACAATCCACTTGTTTTAAAATAACATGTTCAAAACAAGTCAAATGTATGTACAAAAATTTGTTACATTATTGGTTATAACAGTTGTATCCAGAGTTTTCAATAATTGTCTTTTTTTTTGTCAAAGTCCACACAGGCAGGTTCAATTATTTTAGAACACCCTTTGACAAGATAAATTATTATTCTCTATCTCTGTTATTGCAATAGAAGCTGTGAAACTTACTTTAGAAATCACTCATTATGGCTAAACTGACAATCATGCAGTCTAACTTCAATTTCACTAACTTACTTTTGCATCTACACATATTATAACACATGACAGAAAAAATCTAGAAACATCTAGCCCTCTAGTAACAACAATATTAAACATAACAGAAAAACTTAAAAGCTTCCAGTAAGATAATGTAAACAATATTACAAAAGCCTAGTACAACAATTAACAATTCACTTTTAACACTATTGTTATGAAAAATAAATAATCATTAAATATTAGATCACTAAATAATAACTCTTAAACTCTCTTGTATACCCAACATCATGTTTTCCAGACATTTAATGTTTTACTGAGTCAATCTTGCTGAGAAATGTTCAGAGGGTTATAGAATATTCAGTATTAATTGCCTTGCTAGAAGTCCTCTTTCACAAACTGAGAAAGATTTTATCTCATTATCAAACTATATGAAAACCTTAACCTACTTGAACAGTTTTCTGGTTCCAAACATGCTCCACTCCTTTGTACAAACTTTCCATTACACATCTTTCCTCCATATTGTGGAAATGGATTATTACAACTCCGATATCGAAATTCATTACCTATCTTCTGCTTGCAATTTAAAGCAGTACATTGACCCCAGTCTGACCATTGAGACCACATGCCATCTCCTAAGGTGATAAAAAGAAAAACAATAGTTGAGCTTGCTGCTTATTCAGCAAACACTGGTGACTAATGTTCTTGGAACAAACTAAAGGACACTGTAAAACTTCACAGTTACAGAGTAGTACTGATCACATTAACCACAATGTTTAATTTAGGCTGACTGGTAGTGAAAGACCATAACCTTTGGATCAGGGAAAGATAAACTGAAGCTAATGATTAGTGAGAGTAATAAACAGCATCTTTATGTAAATTCAAGTTAGAATGCAGTGTACAAGTTTGTTGCAAGTAAAGGTAGATAAACTAATCATTTTCATATAAAAGTGAAGGGGAAGATTATAGTAGCATGTAGTTTATGAAAGTAACCATTATAATGATAGTTTTTGAATTGAATTGAATAATTACATCTATAATTTTTATTTATGTAAGAAAACTGACCAATGTTTCTTTAATGAACTAAAAAAGAATATAATCAAAACTTTAAAGTTAGGACTATGGAGAGTATTAGATCAAACAAATGATAATCTTAAGTGCAACATTATTCACCTTGAGGTGACCTAAGAGCTTGTATTACTATTACAAAATAATAGGATATAGTTCAAGTAAAACTAAAACTGATAAAGAGCATATAATTTCAAACTATGAAAATTGAAGTAAAAAGAGAAACAGGAACAAGGCTGGTCCCATGCATACATTTCTTCAATTTAAGAAACTAAGATCAAAAGATTCACAGTAATTACGAGAATATAGTATTTTCATTCTCAGAGAGTCACCAGCAAAGACAGTGATTTCACAGGGCTTTATAAAAGATTATTTACTGATCCCAAGCATAAACTCTATTTTCAGCACTATTTTCAGAGAGCACTTCATCATAAATCAATCCTACCAACAAAGATGTAAAGAATATAGTCCAATCTTATGATCCTGAGACCAACAAAAGGACCAAGTTAAATGGCTGAGGAAATTAAAGTCAGTCTCTAAAGAGAGGAAGAAAATAAAATAGTTCAGTTTAAACATGATACCTGGAAAACTAAGCTTTTGAAAACTAAGAATTGGTTGAGCAAGAAGAAGACAACAATTATGATACCTTTTGGTTCAAAAACATTTAATTGATTATTTAATTTTTGCTTATTGTTTTATTATTTAATTGCAAATTCCTTTTCTGAATCATGCAAAGTAGATTTTTTTAAATTTATTTGATATAATAAAACTTCCCTCTATTTCTAACCTTATTCTTCTAATTTTAATTTAACAGTGCCAATAATCTATTATGTTCATTGTGTGTGTGTGTGTGTTTTCTTATAGCAAAGCCACATCAGGCTACCTGCTGTGTCCACAGAGTGGAATCAAACTCCTGATTTTAGTGTTGCAAGTCCAAAGACTTACTGCTGTCCCGCCAGGGGATGTGTTCATTGTGAATAGCAAATGTCAATTAAATATATGATTTATACTTAAACACATCATAACCATCCTACAGTATTGTTTCAAAGACAGTGTTTGAGCAATTAAATCTTAGTTGCACTTGTGTTATTAATGTGAAGTCTTCTCAAGAAGGATGTTTTTTGAAAATTATTTGCTTGGTTTTAGCATTGTTACAATCATACATGTACTAACTGCTACCTCATTAATCTTCACATTTTTTTTCACATCTTAAAACATCAATTAACATTAGATATGGTACACAATCATTTTAAAGACTAAAAGGCTTACTGATCAAACTATAACCAAGAAAATTAGTCATAAACATTTCTTTAAAATTTTATTTGAAAAAGACCTAGTGAAGTGTGAGGAATATCCCTACTGGAGTTTTATAAATATTGAAAACCAAAGGTGGTGGAAATAATATCACATTCCATTACACTAGATCAAGAAGTGTTCTGAAAAACTCATTACAAAAAGTCTTTCCTCATTATTATTATTCAGTTGCATATTTTTTCTAAATATATGGAGTATAATAATTTCAGTATGGAAGATTTTAAAGAATGAGAGGTAAAAATAGTCATTATGTTAACATTTCTTTGAGTAAGGACAGATATGTAGCTGAATAATGAACTTATCCTGTAGATCACATACCAAAATATAAAAATATTAAACATAAGTACACATTTTTAAGGTTTCTAAATGATGTTTTAAAAACATATAGCAATAATGTAAATCTATGTTAATGTTAAGCCTTACTTGGACAATGAATGGATGCTTTGCATTTAATGATCTCCTGTATATCGCCTTTACAAGGCCTCCCTCTGCGACTAGGGGGTGGATTATTACACTCTCGGAAACGATGGCGAATTCCATCATCGCAAGTCACAGAACAGTCACTCCACCATGACCAAGCTGACCACCGACCATGAACTTTAAAAAATAAACCAGTTAATATACTTTTTTTTACTTATTACAATACATATGGGAGGTTTTAACAAACAAAAATATTAGAAATAAAGTAACCACAAGACTACTAGAAATAATCTGTAATAAATTTGCCTTTAAATCTTTCACATATCTGTAGTGTCTTTTGCAGAAAAAAACATCTATTGAGAAACTCGGTTACTGACTACACGTATTTTGTTTATTTGTTTTTGGTTACAAAGCTATACAATGGACCATCTGTGCTCTGCCCACTATGTGTATGAAAATCTGATATCTAACATTATAAGCCCTCAGACTTACCGGAAGGCAAAACAACATTTGTTTTTTGTTGGTAAGCACAAAGCTACACAGTGAGTCATATTGTGTTGTTCCCACAACTTAGGTATTACATTACTAGTGAACTATCTGTTGGTTCATTTTACATATATTAAATCGAATGCACTCCACTTCAAATTTATCTTACTCAGCCCAGGTTGAATCAGAGAAACTGTAACACACTGCGTCTTCCTTGTTATTATAATCTTTTATAACCACAAATACATATCATTTCAATCCCACTTGTTTTGCATTATAATGTGCAGGAAATATATAGAGTTCTAATTCCACAACATTCTAGAAACAGATTGAAAGATCACATAAGTCAATGAACAACTTCAGTTTTCATTGTTTACAATGTAGTCGAATAGAAGGTCTACTAATGCTGATTAAGTTACACTCCGCAATCCAAGTTTGCAAGTCAGGGTACAACTATGTCGCATAGAACCATAGTTATTTTCGTATGGTTTTCTCACACCTCCAAATTCTATTGAAGGTGAATATCTGGGAGTATGACTGACGTCCTAGTTTGGACACCGGGTGAGCATGTTTCGGTGTGACGAGGATTCAAACCCATGACCATCAGAGTGCCCTAATCACCTGGCCATGCCGAGCCGCATAGAACCATCGTCCAAGGGTTGGGAAAAGTAAATGTGGTATACTTGGGTCAAAATGAATTCACTTTTGACCAAGGAGGTAGGTCCACTGATCAGGATGTCCTCAGGTTATTTATCATGAAGTAGTACTGAATCTCTCAATAACCAAGCCTGAGGAAGAAAGACACCGGACACAAAATAATGTGCAAGATGAACAGTCTTTATTGAATCAAAAATAAAGTATGTGCACTAATTGTTATTAAACATGAATAGTTGGTTGTTTCTACTAGATTCTAAATTCTAAACTGATGATATGCATTAGATGGAACTGACTTGGTATAAATAGGGTTTAAAAATAAAATAAAACCTGTAAACTAAAAATTCTTGTTAGTATTTTGTCACAATTATATGCTGTATAGCAAAATATGGAATGTTTAACTCTATCCACTAAGATTTTTTTAAATATATTCTCACATTTACATGTTCTATGACAAGATATGGAACAATAAGCTCTATCCAATAAAACTTTTTTTCGTATCTTGTCACATTTACATGCTACACACAAGATATGGAACAGTATTAAAGCTTGTTTGGTACTATTTCATCTGCATGCTGTGTAGTATATACAGCTTCAACGATAGTTTGTTTTCTAGAAAATGAAACTAATGTTTAAAAATTGGAATGTAACTTTGTATTTTTTACTGTGGTAATAATGTGACATATTTATAACATCACAGCTATTTACTCAGAAAGTTTTAACTTGAAAACCTATATAAAACTTATTTTTGTTGCAAAATACAATCACATCAATTCAATTTGATTAGTGACATATATATATATATTTATCTGTGCTCAGAATCTGTTTGCAAACTTTACTTTTGGAGCAGAAGTTTAAACTAATTTTATATAAAATTGCAGTACAATGATGATTTCAAAGAATATAAATGAATAAGCATATCACTTACTTGGACATGGACCTAGCTGACATGTGGCTCGGTTTTGAGAAACACCATGGCACTTATTTCCTCCATGAGCCGGGGGTGGGTTGTTGCACTTTCGAGTACGGCGCATTTCACCAATACCACAAGTAACAGAGCACTGCTCATAATCACTCCATGAACTCCAAGCTCCATCAACTAGATAATGTATGAAATACAATGGGTAGTTGAGTTCAGTAGGAATTTCTCAGCCCTAGAGGCATTGTTAGGCACTGGCACATGGGGCCTATGCCCCATTTGTACTTGAAAGTGCCCTGAATCCCTAGTTGGTGTCTTTAAAAATCAAAATAGAAAACCATGATCGAAATCATACTGAAATACTAAAAATTCCCGTACCTATGGGTTCGATCCCCAAATATTTTAAGTACTTAGCGATGCCTCTACTTAGTACTAATGTTTTTTTAATGAAAATAATATTGGACAAACAATTTTATTAAATTTGTTACAATATTTTTCATTTTAATAATAAGAAATGAAGTTGTTACATTAATAAAATTAAAATTTAAAAAACAATCCAGATTAAGAATTCTTCTACAAAAGGATTCTGTTCTGACATGAGCCATAAAACTCAGTACTAATGTTTTTTTTAATGAAACGAATATTTGACAAACATTTTTATGAAATCCTTTCCAATATTTTTTTGTTTTAATGATGACAAATGAAGCTGCTATATTAACAAAATTAAAATTTAACAAAACAGTGTCCAAGTTAACAATTCTTCTAGAAAAGGATTTTTTCCAACATGAGCCATAAAACAATAAACACAAGATTGTTTATTGAATTTCACACAAAGCTACATGAGAGATATCTGTACTAATCATCCCTAATTTTGAAGTGACACACTAGAGAGAGAAGGCAATTAGTCAACACCAGCCACTGTTAACTCTTAAGCTACTCTATAACCAATGCAAAGTAGGATTATAATGTTCCTATGGCTGAAAGGGCGAACAAGATTAGTGACAGGATTTGAGCCCAAGACCTACAGGTTGTGAATTGAGTGCCCTTAATCAATAGGCCATAATATAAGACAGACGAGTTTCAACTAGATGTATGCCCTAGTTGATTATTTAATTTTATAAAGACAGTGTATAGTTTAATAAAATGCTTAACAACAATAATGTAGCCTATACTTTGCCTTCAACATGTGACTTAAGAAGTTTTATTTATTATATTTTGCATGGCTTGTAGTACTAATGTTTTATAGTTTATTATAGATAAAAATGTCAAGAAGATAGCAGTCACATCATGTAAGAATGAAATGCTGTAATTATGAAACCTTAGTTAACTTGAAAGTACTAATTCACAATGTTTACCTAAATACTTCATTTAGTTACACCCAGTAACATCTACTTCATGCACAGTTTAAAATCAAGATTTAGATGGACAAAGAAGTTTTGTATTCTGTACTGCAGGTAATGTTTAAATGAATGCTTAATAGGATCTTTATCTATAAATATGGTTTAACTAGGGCATTCTGAATATTGTACTGCAAGTCTTACTGTTTACCTGATAATTTAAAAAGATAAAAAAAGTCAACTTTTCATCATTAACAAATGCTTTACTTGGTTACTTACTGACAATAACTGCATTAATACTTGGATTACCTAGATAAGTCTGAGAAGACATACTTCTCTTTCACAGCCACCTCCTCTTCATTTACTTGTACAAAGTTTGTGGAAGTATTCCTCTTTTTTTCATACCTACCCTCTCTTGACTTATTTATACAAAGTGGAAATTTTATTTTCTTCTTTCTATCTAATCCTCTTGACCTACCTGAAAACAATGTCTACGGCAACAATCTACTCTCAACTTACCTGGACAAGACCTGAGGAAACATTCCTCTCTCCCATGTCAACCTCCTTGAATTACCTGCACAAATCTGAGATGACACTCTATTTAATAATCATATTCTCTTGAAATATCTGGAGAATTTCTGAGGTGATAATCTTCTTCTCTTAACTTACCTGGACAAGGTTTACGGTGACATTCTTCTCTCTCATGACTATCTTCCACTGGACAGATTCTTCCACCTAAGGCAGGTTTTGGATTGTTACACAATCTTTTACGGAAGTGAACACCTAGTCCACAAGTCACTGGACACTCTGACCACTCCTGCCATTGACCCCAACCTCCATGAACTAGAGAAAAACTTGTTTTTATAAGATTTTCAATTACAAAAATACAATAATGCAAGTGATTTATTTATTTACACATTCATTCTTACATCCTCCATCATAAAAGAGATACAGCAAGTCAAATAACATAAGATTTGTAAAAAGCTGCTTTTATATGTTGTTAAAACTAAAATAAATACACACGTTATGTGTGCCGCCAAGATTTTTTCAGAAGGGTCACTTTTGAAATCAATAACACACGTAAACAGTGACTCAGTAGCAGTTCAGTACAAGGCAAATGTCAGAAACACATTACCAAATAAAAGAGGTTATGAACATAAAATTATAATGCAATGTTTTTTCAGCACTAGATTTCATTTTCTCTAACCATAAAAATGGAGTTAAGTTTTAAAAAGGGAGATAATTCGATCCCCCCAATGCACAAAAATCATTTTAATAGATGCCACAAGTGCTTACATCAGATTATGGACTAACACTAATATTTGAGGATATCATGTGATAACATATAAAAGCATTACTGAGATGACAGCCCTTACTAATCTCAGATGTCAATGCGAGTTTTTCACAGCAGTATTTTGAGAAAATGAATAATGTGCCATTTATGAAAAACCTAGGAAGTGCCCTAAATAATGTGTCACCACTCCACAGTCACACCAGTCATAATTATAAAAACTTGGACAAAATCCTTTGATAGCTTTGATAACACTGTACTGCTTGATTATTATAGCAAAAACAGATCCATAGCTTTCAGTGATTCTTCAGTCGACACTAAGTTTTATGCATGAAACTTTGTATGTATATAAAATTAACAGCAATGGGCAAGTTTATTTGTAAATTGGTAATGCTCTAAAACACATAGTTTCATATGTAAATTATTTTTTTCAGTATCTATATTTTGTTCATGTTTGCAACCAATAATTGCTCACTGTTTTTGGACATTATTAGATAAAAAAAGGACTACAGTAACTAAGACATATGTTCACTTACAATATTTATTTATAGAATTTTGTATTGAGTAAAAGATGCATTCATCTGCTGTTACTTTTGATTTAAAAAACAAATATAAGTGGGTAAGTAAATATCATTCTTTCACAGAATCTTATAAATATAATTAATTAAAGACTTACTTGGGCATTCTCCTTGTTCACACACTAGTTTTTCTACTGAAATTCCAGGACACTGATGTCCTCCAAAGGTTGCAGGGGGATTGTTGCATTCTCGAGTACGAAGCCTCACCCCACTGCCACAGGTGACTGAACATAAACCAAATTTACTCCAAGTTCCCCAAGCTCCATGAACTAAAATAAAGTTAAAAGAATGGATACACTTTTTACTTTAATTCAGTAATAATCTCATAAGGTGGGATTTATTAGTTTCAGTAACTGCTGACTTTGCCTTATAGAGTGGGATTTATTAGTTTCAGTAACTGCTGACTTTGCCTTATAGAGTGGGATTTATTAGTTTCAGTAACTGCTGACTTTGCCTTATAGAGTGGGATTTATTAGTTTCAGTACTTGTTGATGTAGCCTTATAGGGTGGGATTTATCAGTTTCAGTAAATGTCAATGTAATATTATATTGTAGGATTTATCAGTTTCAGTAAATGTCAATGTAATATTATATTGTAGGATTTATCAGTTTCAGTAAATGTCAATGTAATATTATATTGTAGGATTTATCAGTTTCAGTAATAGTTAATGTAATCTTATATTGTAGGATTTATCAGTTTCAGTAACTATTGATGTACACTTTTATTGTAGGATTTATCAGTTTCAATAATTGTTGATGTACACTTATATTGTAGGATTTATCAATTTCAGTAATTGTTGATGTAATCTTATATTCAGGAATTTATCAGTTTCAGTAATTGTTAATGTACTTTAATATTGTAGGATTTATCAGTTTCAATAATTGTTGATGTACACTTATATTGTAGGATTTATCAGTTTCAGTAACTGTTGATGTAATCTTATATTGTAGGATTTGTCAGTTTCAGTAAATGTTAATGTAATCTTATATTGTAGGATTTATCAATTTCAGTAATTGTTGATGTAATCTTATACTGTAGAATTTATCAGTTTCAGTAATTGTTAATGTACTTTAATATTGTAGGATTTATCAGTTTCAATAATTGTTGATGTACACTTATATTGTAGGATTTATCAGTTTCAGTAACTGTTGATGTAATCTTATATTGTAGGATTTATCAGTTCCAATAATTGTTGATGTACACTTATATTGTAGGATTTATCAGTTTCAGTAACTGTTGATGTAATCTTTTATTGTAGGATTTATCAGTTTCAGTAATTGTTGATGTAATCTTATATTGTAGGATTTGTCAGTTTCGGTAATTGTTGATGTAATCTTATATTGTAGGATTTATCAGTTTCAGTAATTGTTGATGTAATCTTGTATTGTAGGATTTATCAGTTTCACAAAACACATAGCACATAGTTTTCACTCACGGTCAGTTTCGTTCATGTTAAGCATGTTTTTGGCAACTTTCTAGAAGTCATAATCAGACAAATGGGCAAGCAGTGCAATGAAATCATTGAATTTACGAAGTGTATTTTCACAAAATGTGGCTAGGTTTTAGTCAACAGTATAATTCTGTTTCACTAAACAAATCAGATGTGTTACTAAAGTTTTGGATCTAAAGATACATTTGTAAAATGTTGAAGCCAGTCTGACTCTGATCTAACAAGTCAGAGTGCAAAATGGTGTTCATACGTAAGAATAAAAATACTTTTACCCTCATACATTTTGCAAATTGCATTTGCATAACCTCTACAAACTCCTAAAGGCACGTCTAAGGTTTTGTTTCGGTATCCCTGTACATTTCTCTCATATTTTCTCCACTCGAACATGAACTGTTGTGAAATCAGCATTGTAGGTTAACATGGAATGCTGATAACTCTTACATCAAATTTATACCACATTGAATGACATTCTGTATAAGTTTGGGGAATGCAGATTTTAACTCCAACCTGTGCACATAGGGTTAATAGAATATATTATTCACACATCTCTATTTTAGTCTTGAATTAAAAGATTTTAACATCGTAAGTCTGGAAACTTACTGATGACCTATCATGGAACATGAGACCAGGAAAAAATACATTTTGAATTAAATTAGGTTTGAAGACTGTAACTCAATTTCCATTTTTCAGACATGTTATTTTATGTTTTTTAAATAAAGTTGTCTATCACTTATCATAATTTTTACTGAAAATGATTCCTCTTTAAATAATAATATGTTATTCTTATCAGAAGGGTGTTTAATTCATAGATATCTATAGTTCCTAATACTAGAAAAACACTAATACTAGTCTACATCTTATATCAAATACATTATGTAAATATGTGTTTATTTCTTTTTATTATGGCATATGCATGTTATTTCTATTAGCTTTAGGTGAATAGTGTTTTAAGAATTGATTAATTTCAAACTTCTACACCTCCCTCCTTAAAATGTGTTTGTATCATCTTTATTTTGTTTCTTCCAGAGAAAATCATTATTTACATAATGTTGAGATTCATATTGTAGGATCACTATGATCATTCGATTCTGTAAATTTCAAGAATATATTCTACAAAAACTAACCAATCTTAACTGTAATATTTCTATTTAAAATATGTTGAAAAAATCCTATTCAGTCTCTAACAGACAACAAATTTTTCAAATAAATATAATTCAAATTTAACTTGTAAAATTTGAAAAAACTGAATAAAACAACATTTGTGTCATTTACTCAAAACAGGAGATAAAAATATCCAGTGTATCATGATTCTATACTTTACTCTTATGAGGTTTAACAAACACTCTTATCAACTAATGGATCAGAATGCTTTGTTTGTATCAGCTAAAACTGTGTCACTTTCCTCATTATCCAGCAAGGATAAAGTAAATAAAAGTTAGTGAGAATCACATGAAGTCAATAATTAGTTATTCATACATCAACTGCTACTTGCTAATCTCTACTGTACAGACACAAGAATCTTATTTTTTCTACAGTAATGCTTCATGTTAAGTACTGTTTACAAAGGTATTTCATGTAGTCCAATATCACAGTTATTAATTATACCTCATTTGTAACTTTCTGTTGGTGTTGTATTAGACTGAGCATTATTTATCATGTTCTATTGTTTAACCAAAATTCATATTTCTCCATTGGTATTGCCTTGATCAGGTTAACCTCTGTCGGGTTTTGTACAGGCCTGATTCTTTACAGTAGGCATCTGTGATTTGTTGGCAATAAATTTCAACAATAAACAAACAGCATGCAGTCCACTTGCTTTACAATAATATATTAAAACAAGTCAAACATATATACAAATATTTGTAACACTATTTGTTATCACAGTTGTATCCAGAGCTTTGAATAATTGTCTCTCTTTTTTTTTGTCAATGTCCACACAGGCTAGTTCAGTTACTTTAGAACACAATTGACAAGACAAATAATTCTTCTCTACTCTGTTATTACAATACAATCTATGATAATTTCACTTTAAAAATTGCCACTATACACTCTTTAGGGCTAAACTCACAATGGCTAAATCTATCTATCTAACTAAATCTCCAGCACATATTTATACCCCAACAGAGTTCTAGAGTATTCCACACACTACCAGATATTATGATACAATAATACTCAATTAAAACAATGAGGTTCTAGTGACATGATGCAATAATACAACAATCACCAATTCATAACTACTGAAAATGCAAAGCATGATTCATAAACAGTTACAAAAACAAACCAGCAATAAACTATCACTTCTAAAAATAACAAAATTTAACCCTGGCACTATATAAACTATCTAAATCATAACACTCTTATTAAACTTAAACAGTCATGTATATCTAACAACCTCTATAAACCAAGTTTTCCTGTATAGCCCAAAATTATAATTCTTAATGATTCCTCAGGAAATTTCAAGTTGAAAAGCATGCAATTAACACAACAGTCACTTTTATAGAAGACTTGTGGTTTAAGCACTAAAACAATGTTTTTTAAAATGAAAATGTCTCTTTTTGTCTGTCCTGAAACTGCACATGCACCTTACTATCTAAATGTGAATGTACGAGCACTTCATTTCAATGGATATAAACAAAAGGGCTCATGCAAACATGCTTTAGGAGATATTTTGTACATCAACATATTAAAAGCTTATCAAAGTTTTTAAAAAGGTATAACGTTAGGTCATAGAATAACATTATAAGTTTATTTATTCATAGAAATAATTAAAGAAGTACTGTTGCAATAAAGACACTAATTTAACTGTAAATGTTTTGCAGGTCTCTGCTAGTTTTAAATAATATTGATTAATATGAATATTGTATCCTAGATAATACATACTAGAAGTTTCATTTTCTCTCAGATATTTCAAATCAAGTAATATTTTGCACAACATTCATGATTCTAAACTAATAAGTAGCCAATTGCGGGAATGTGAATATATGAAGTTATGCCAGTCTCATGTGCTAATCTTTTTAGAACATTATGTAACACCAAACAACTTCTGACCTAAATCGTTTCAAACTATACAGGAGTGTTCTAATTAAAATGTGTAAGATATATATATATATATATTTATTATGACCTATCTACCCTTTCAGACTTGGGTCTCACTGTGAGGATCCTCAGCTTACCTTGCACCATCATATATTAATGACTGGACACCTTCCAGTACTTTGTGGATACTATTTCATGTCGTATCATGGCTGTTATTCGGGTGAAAGGTGGTTCAACCCATTATTAGGTATAGGTTCTAATAAAGTGGTCAGCTAGTGTATATTATCAAATTTAATTCATAGTGAGACTTGTGTTAGAAAGTTTAAATGCTTAATTTCATTGTTTAACATTATGAGTACTGGTATTTTGCATTTGACAAAACTTAAGAAAATTCTAGTATTTCTATAAAATAGATGAACTAAAAACTTTATTAAAACAATTATGTCTGTCAGATGAAACATGGAGTACATAATAATATTTAAATCACTATATCTTAGCACTATCATGCAAAAATATGTTACTTAATGATATTTTGATGTATCCCAGCATACTACTAAATTGTTATCAACCCTTTTATTAACTATTAAAGAAATGACAATCATCAGTTTGTTTGACAAATTAAACTAAAATATATATATTTAAATAACATGCATCATTGTTATGGTCAGTAGCCTACCTGATCAGTTAAGTCTAACAATTAATTATAGTTGATAATTTTTATTTTTTTTTACATATGTTTAAAACTTAACTATTTATCATCAAAGTTTATTCTTTTGACATTTCAGTTTGCTTATCCTTAACATAAAAACTGTAAAATTTTTGCAAATAAAAACAGTTTTGCAAAAACTATAATACTAAAGGACAGCTTTAGAGTTCACTGATGAACTTAACGTTTACATATGGTTAGACCCTGTTGTTATACAGTCAACTATATCAGATTTTATTTGTTTGCAATTGTAGCATCTTGACAGGGGATAAGTAACAGAGTAATAAATTTGAAAGCTACAACATAAACTTCTTATTAAACATTTAATTGGATCAGGAATGATGGTAAGTGGGATTTACTGGAGCTGAAGCTACCCAAAACTGTGCCTTAGTCTCCCCTGTACCCAACAAACAAAATTTACTGTTGAAGATGGTTCACTTCCTAAATACCACAGTAGGTATACCCACAAGATGTAGAGTGCAGCGCACCACAACCTCCTCACCAGAAAAAGAATGGCTTTACCCCTGAAGGGGAATTTTATTATTCAATCAAATAAGAATGTTATTTGTATTATTTTAAACATTCACTTGATAATCCAAAGCAAGGTCTGAACTAATCAAAAGGAAAATTAGGCCACAATGATTATGCTTTTTTAATATCCTTTGCAGAAATGTTTTTAAGTGTGAAACTGGAGTATTCTAAAATAATCTTATTTGGTAAAACCTTGTTTTGATAGGATAAATTTCAGTTGAAAAAAAAAAAAAGAGGCTTTGTGGAGAAAAGGGAACACAGAACTGAAGTTACTTATGGGTTCAATGTGGTCTGAATTTGACCCTGTCCAAACGTAAAACCTAAGATAATCTTATTCTTCAGTTTTAAAATGCCTGATAAATATTTAAACAATTATAGTAGATATATGTTATTACAAAATTACGTGGTATTCTAAAAGTAATAAAATGTACTTGTTTCACAGCTTAAAACCTCTTTCAACTCAAAGTTACTTAAATTATGATTTCCAACCATTGGTTCATGGACTGGGGCTGGCCCATCACATGCTGGTCCATGGACTTTCACAACAAATAAACAAAAACTGATAGAATATTCATAGGTAAATCATAATAGTCTTTTGTTGTACTTGCATTTTAGTGGTCTGCGATAGTTTAGGGAAGCAGCAAGCTGGTCCCTGGTATAAAAAATGTTGACTAACACTGCTTTATGACATTTGGTAAAACATTTTCTGAGAAACAAATAAATAGAACGCAAATTACTTAGCATGAGCTACATTGTAATGTACATGTGTAAGTAAACTGGCCAGTAAAAATTTGTCATAAAGGTAACACTCTCTCTCTAGTTATTACAAGAAATTAGTGTAGCACCTTTATAATGATCTTTTCAGATTACAGTTTCTGTACAATTTGTTGCAGACATAACTAGGAAGTGGTAGAAGTATACATTATTGTTTCAGTAACTGGGATATCTTACATATATACTACTGATGTCAAAGTTGAAATTTAGCCTCGTCTAGTTATTTTAACATTCATTTTCTTTAATAATTTACATTTATCAAAGATCAAAACTAAGGTCAGTGTCTTAGACTGACTAATTTGATATTTTGTTATTTCAAATAAAATATCAAAGTTTATGGTGATGGTCAACTGCATCTAGTTACCTGGAGTGACTTCAACCTTGCATGCTTCAGTTTCTGTATCACCACTCTCTGGACAGTATTTTATCACCTCAGCTGGATCTACATTAAGGCATTTTCTGGTTCGCACACGTATAAAATTATCAGAAAATCCAAAACATCCTGACCATTCCTCCCATTTACCCCAACCTGAAATATAATCACAAAAGTCTCATCAAATTGGCTACTAAATGTTTAACAAATATCTTTGGGTTAAACATCTGAGAATTCAGTCACTTAAAATTACCAATACATCAAAGATATTATAATTTGTAAAAACTATAACAGACTGAGTGAACATTAATTAACTTTAAACTATAGTGAGAAAAATATTAGAATGTTAAGTTCTGGTAAGTTGTACCGATCACTGTGATATATGAGCTCAAACTCAATGTTGGCAAATAAAAAAAATGTTAAGATGATGTCTTAAAAACTACAGATTTTATTTATTTAGATTACACATATTAATCTATGACCAAGCTAAATTCCTAAATGCACACACACACAAAACAGAAAAAACGCTGTACAACTCTGAATATTAACCAAGTTAAACAGTTAATTTTAAGCCTAATAATTTTAAGTTAGAATAATGAAAAAAGGAAAATATTAGTGATTACTGGAATAAACTGAAATCTAAAAAACTAAACATGGATTTTTGTAAAATGCACTGGCTGTTATTATGTATGATTTAAAACAATAAGAAAAAACATCTCAAACTAGGATTTAAAAAAAAGTAATTGTGAAGAACAAAATCTGAGATGGCATTAACTGCACCTGGTATTCTTTTTAAATATTTACATTTGATTACTGTTACCATATCTCTTTCCATTGTGATTAATCACTGTAAGCTAGAGAAAATACAGAAACAGCAAATGTTGTTATTATAGTACAGAACCATATGTTCTTGTAAAACACGTAATTGGAAATTATAAATATCAAACTATTGAAGATACTATGGACAAATGCTTTACTGATGGAGTTCAGAACCTTATTAACTGTCTTAATATGTAAGATGTTTAAAATTATTGAATTTTTCTAAGTTTAGACACAGTAAGGAACTCAAACAAGTAATTAAACTTCCCCTTTTGGTAGGCACATGGTGTGTTTGTAATCATTTGTTTTCGAAGTAGCCTTACGAGAAACATAACTTATAATATACTTAAAGAAACAACGGATTTTCTGTTGGCAAATCTGATAATGACTAGTGGCTAACTGTCAGATTATGTATGGAAGAGCCAGATTCTTTACAGTAGGTGCCTATGACTTGTTGGCAATAAATTTGAACAATAAACAAATGGCACAGTCCATTTATTTTAAAATAATATATTAAAACACTTATTTTAGAACAAAATTGACAAGACGAATGATTCTTCTCTTCTCTGTTGTTGCAATACAATCTGCGATAATTTCTCTCTAATAAAAAAGAGCCACTATACACTCTTTACGGCTAAACTCACAGTCACACAGTTTAGATCTATCTCTTTATCTAATGAACTTCTTAGCTACTAACTTTATCGATGCATATATACACACACACACACAACAGCAGTCTCAAATGTTACACATTCTAATAGACATTATAATGCAACATTACTCATTGAAACCAACGAAAAAAATTCATAAGGTTCGAATAACATGATGTCAACTCACAACAACTAAACTACATAACATATGATTTGTACACAGTTACAAAAACAAACCTGTAATAAACTATCGCTTCTAAAAATAAATAATTTTATCACTCGTGCTATACTTAAACCATCTAAATCATAATACTCGCATTAAGTTAAACAGTTGTGTATATCTAACACTGACAACCTTTGCACATGAGATACTATGAAAACATGGACCACTTGCTAAACATTGGGTTCGAAGCTAATTTGGTCTTGTTATTTAGTTTATAAGGTCAGCATCCTCTCACAGAGTGTAAGAGTTTTTACAGATCTTCAGTGTTCTGTTGACCTTAAGAATAGATATCTTCTCACATTAGTTTTAGACTTTTGTTTTTAAGACCTCGAGAGCATTAAGAGTTCACACAGAGTTTGGGATTTAATGTTTGTTTAAGCAAGCATGTTTTTTAATTTTCACTTTGGATTGAATCAGACTGACTTTTGAGGGAATCAGAGTCTGTTCAGCTTAACTAGAGGTTAAGCATTTGGATTCAGTTTAACCTGTTGGGGTTATTTCACTTGGCTTATTTTATTTTCAGTTTAACTTACAAGGAATATCACATTTGAAACAGAAAGACAAAACATTTAAGGTTTCTTAAATTTCTATTAACCGTATGGTTTATGTGTAAATGTTTAATTCTAGCGCAAAGTTCCTACCAGAAAGATGGTTAACGCATATCTAACTAATTAATTTTGTTTCCAGAAAGATAACTGATACATCAAGAATATTTCACCAGAACAAGGTTTCAAGCAGAAGTGTGGTTTACATTTAAATAATTAAATACCTGAACAAGGATCTGTAAAACACTGTTCAGTGTCTGATTTATCTTCTTCTCTACAACTTTTTCTACCATTGTATTGTTCAGGATTATTGCAAGATCGATATCGAACACGTGTTCCAAGACCACATGAAACTGTACACGATGACCATTCTCCCCAGTCTCTCCATTCTTCATTAATAATTGAAAAGACAGATAAGTGTCACTGTAAATATAAATCTAAGGGAAGTGAAAAACAGTAAACTTAATTTGTTTTTAATAGTTAACTGTTCTTAGGCCTGAGCTTGGTCATTCGTGGTGTAAAAATTAAGATTCTTATATATAAACTAGCTACGCAAAAATATAATACATGAATCTAACTTATACACATGAATTGGTAGTTTACAGGGGGTTATATTATTTTGCTTATACTATTAAGTTCCTTAGACTATGTTCTCTTTTCTTATGATGCAACACTAGATAAATGAAAGCTTAATTAAGTTGGAAGCTACAGTATGAATTTCTTATTAAAAATGTAAAGAAATTTTATTTATTCAGCAAAAATATGAAATCTATTCTTATTATCAGAAACATTTATTTGATATTTCCCGATGTAATACCCAAGACATTTTTCTTTTTAATTTTTAAAACACCTGTTAAGTATTTCGGTAATTACAATGTATCATTTTTATTGATATATGTTGTTACAACATTATGTGATATTTTTAATTCAATAAAATCTACTGGTCTCATGGGTTAAAACTTTTTAGAACTCAGTTATATACAGATCTATATTCTTTGAACATATTCTAAAATATTTTCGAATGAAAAAGATAAATTTGATGCATATTATTCAGCAGGAGCTACATTTCAATGCATGTATTTCAATGAATTAAACAATATCAATTAATCCTAAGAGTTGCACTCTATCTAGTTATTACAATCAGCATGGCATGTTATATACATAGTGATCTCTCCTGGTTACTGTTTCCATGAGACTGTTTGCATACATAACTAAAAAAATGGCAGAAGTGAACAGTTTTTTTGTACAATAGTGTTTCAATAACAATAAAACATCAGTATTGTTACGACAGCGGAAGTCATGTGATGCTGGTAACACATAATGTGTTCTAGAAAGATCAGGAAACATCACGAATAATCCAGTATTTGCTAGACACCCTCTATTCTTGTACATAAGTGCACCAGACAATTAATCGGGATAGAATTGCAGACAGAGACGGACAATTGAGTCAAGCACGGTAGTAAGTAAGTGCATAAATCGTTCCCTGTGAATTATAACATGTTTTTATAAAATTAGTTAAGTTAAATTGGCAGTGGAAATTAAGTGTATTGCAAAGTTGAATTGAGAAAGAGTAAACTAGTTTTATCTAAGAAAGGACTTGTGTAGCTAAAGTTTCATCGGAAAGAAATTATACGGGAAATTAACTAATGACCAGAAACGTAACAGTATGTCTAATTGGGATATCTTGAATTTATTGCTGATGTCAAAGTTGGAATTCGACCTTGTCCATTTATTTTAACATTTATTGCATCTATAATTACTATGGATTAAGATTAACATCAATGTCCTTGATCCTCCACTATTTCATATAAATCTCAAAGTCCCTGATGCTTTGACATGATATTGTTCAACTGCACCTAGTTACCTGGAATGACTTCAACCTTGCATGCTTCAGTTTCTGTATCACCACTCTCTGGACAGTATTTTATCACCTCAGCTGGATCTACATTAAGGCATTTTCTGGTTCGCACACGTATAAGATTATCAGAAAATCCAAAACATCCTGACCATTCCTCCCATTTACCCCATCCTGAAAAATAATATAAAAAGTCTGATCAAATTGTCTACTAAATGTTTAGTAAATACTTTTGAATTAACTGTTTGTGAATTTGTTCATTTCAAATTACTGGTATAAACTAGCTATGCAAAAATATAATACATGTAGCTAGCTTATACACATGAATTGGTAGTTTACAAGGTTATACCATTTTGCTTATACTATCAAGTTCCTTAGATTATATTATCTTTTCTTATGATGCAACACTAGATAAATGACAGCTTAGTTAAGTTGGAAGCTACAGTATGAATTTATTATTGAAAATGTAAGGAAATTTTATTTAATCAGCACAAATGTGAAACCTGTTCTTATTATATTAACCATTTTCTTGATAATCCAAAGCTTAGAAGTAAGATAATTTTTTGCTTCATTTCTAAAATTCTTGTTGTGGTATGCAGGCATACTATGTGTTATAAGCCTCGTACTTAATATAAAAACAATTCAAAATTTCTGTATGTGTTGAGCATGTATTTTTGATAGAGAATAGTGGTCAATAGAGCTATAAAGTTTTTTTGTTGTTGTTATTCATAGAATTTGGTCTGTCAACTAAGGTGTCACATGTACTTTCTTGTGGGAGAGAATGCTGTAATATTGTTAATATACAGTGGCAACACCGGCCCCCAAAATTTGGAAGAGGAGGGTAAGCAAAACTTTGAGAGGGAAAAACAAGACATCTTATACTCATGTGTAATTTGAGAGGGACTCATTACTCCCTCCAAATTTTAGCATGCTAAATTACATTGAGCCAACTTTGGGTTTCAAAAACTACGTTGTATTGATATATGAAGCCCCAAATTACTCACAGATCTTGGAAAGGATCAAAAGACTTTTGACCATTCTAACATATCTAGCAATGTTTTTTTTTGGGGGGGGGTAATAACAAAGTCCCTTTATGAGTGGATTGATTCTAGCATACAAGAAAAAAAAAAAAAAACAATCCCATGAAAAAGTAGAGCACATGCAAACATGTTTTCTTGTTATACATATTACATTTGCTCTATGTATATAGCATTAATTTGGAGAGAGGGCAAACTGGGGGGCTAGAAAATTTTGGGTGGGCAAACAGTGGATAACTGTTCTTAAAATATGTTGTTACAAAGTTACGTGGTATTTCATACACAATAAAACTTACTGGTTTCACAGCTTAAAACCTATTTTATTTAAATTTACTTACAGATCTGCATTTTTTAGAATGTGTGTTAAATCAGTCTCTAATAAGATAAATAGACTGAATGCAAATTATTTAGTACATGTAACATTTTAATGCACGTGTTTGAGTTAATTGTCCAATAACAGTTTATCCTCAGGATAACACTTTAGTTATTACAGGAAAGTGCAACTCATTATTTGCATCATGACCACTCCTGATTACAATTTCTATAAAACTGATTGAAAACATAAGCAAATAGCAGAAGTATATAGTTTTTTAAAATATGTAATATGTTATACATTTATCACAGATTAATATTAAGGTCTATGTCCCACATTGGCTGTGTTAGTCCTCTGCTATTTCAATTAAAATCTCAAAATTTATAATGATGTTCAATTGCATCTAGTTACCTGAAGTGACTTTAACCTTGCATGCTTCAGTTTCTGTATCACCACTCTCTGGACAGTATTTTATCACCTCATCCGGATCTACATTAAGACATTTTCTGGTTCGCAGACGTATACGATTTTCAGAAAATCCAAAACATCCTGACCACTCCTCCCATTTACCCCAACCTGAATAACAACAAAAATATGATCAAATTGGCTACTAAATGTTTAACAAATATATTTGGGTTAAACATCTGAGAATTCAGTTACTTAAAATTAACATCAAAAGTATCATAACTTGTAAAAACTGTAATTGAATGATTTAAACACTATGATAAATTTAAACATCCTATGTCAGATTTACATTTACACTGACTTGTATTGTAAAATGTAAAAAGGAAGTTTAAAACAGTAGATATTAGTATATATTATACATACTGATCTGTATTACAGATCTTTACATGGGCTCTGAAGGTTAGGTGAATTAAACTGAACATTATGACACATTATTACCAAGAATCAAAAATTAGAGAAAGGAAGAAACTCCTTTGGTAGAGGATTTAGGCATAGTGTTCATGATGAACAAACATGGGTTAAATGGACACCAACTGCTTGTGCAGAAAATCCTCAAGTGAAGGACTACAGATTAGTAGACAAAGTAGTTGAGGGGTGGCCATAGATAGTAACAAGTGGACAACGAACAGAAGAGGGGTGATCTTGACTCTGTAAATGATAAGAAACCTGGTAGGGTCCCTGGTTACAAGGGAAAGAAACCAGAGTGAGAAGATATGACTAAATATCTTCATTAGTTCAAGATACCAGTATAAAAGAAAAGGTGCCAGACAGAGATCTTGGAGAGAAGATTGAAGGAGACAAAAGTCAGAAAGTAGGGCAACCTAACAAAGTACATACCAGAAACTAAGATAAAGGAGACAAAATGGAAGAAAACTGAGGTCAAGATGGAAAATAGGTATGTGCAAGTTGTCCCAATAAAGCCGACAGAGTTGTGACAGGGAGTCTCGAAATGATGGTGAAGCATGAGAACAAAAAAAATGGTTGAATAAAAGATAATGATGACCAGATGGAGAGAAATAAAAAGGAAGGAAAAGAGAAGATCCCTAAACAGTAAGAAAGGTTTCAGGTGAATATGTTTCAGCAACAAATTACTGGAGAGAGAGAGAGAAAACAAAAGACACATACCTATAGAATCCAAGCAGTGAAGGATAAAAATGAGACTATCTGATTCATGTCAGGATAAGGGAACAAGAAGCAAAGTAGGCATGGAAACAACAATGGTGAAACTCAAGATGGGGCAGACTTAGTTGAAGTAAGAGAAGGAGGAGGATGGGAATTCTAGATGCGAGATCAGAATAGAAATAATCACATGATTGCACAATAACAGTAATATCACTGACTGTCACTGTCTCTAGTCACCATTACAGTATTGGATGACTCTTGTTAAGGAGTATCAAAAACGTCAGAAACATGTACACATAATCCAATTAATTCATGAAACTGATGTTGCAGTGGTTCCTTTTTTGTAAAAAACATGAAAGATGATTTTTTTTTTGGTTTGTTATTAATTTCAAACAAAATTAGCCACCTAATAGTAACAAAAAATTGAAACCATAAGCACAAAAATTCTGATACATCTTATGAAAAAAACAAAACGAAAACATCTGAATACATGCAGCACCAAAGAAAGACCATGTTCTAATGCTAGTGCTCATGGGAATTACCATGCCTGAAGAATGTGTTCACCTTCTGCTGGTGGAGGACTATAGTCTAATGGTGATTACATCACAGGTTGGTGTTATACATGTTGACAAGTGTAGGGTTGGGAGCTTAGTTCAAGGCTTGTGGCATGCTCAGGAATTTAAACTGCAGTGTACATGAGGTAATATTTCTCTGTGGTGTAGAAAGACAAGTGGTATTTCTGAATAAGGTTTTTTGTACAAGTGCGGTTTACATGTATGCATTAAATATCTGAACAAAGTTTGATTAAATATTGTTCAATGTTCAATCCAACTTATTTTCCACATCTTTGTCAACTTTTATTCCATATAGGATTATTACACAGCCAATGTTGAACATAAATTTGAAGTCCACATGAAACTATTCATGGTCACTGTTCTTCATACACTCCTTATTCTTCATTAAAGACTAAAATGTCAGCTCAAGGTAACTGTAAGTAAAACATACTAAATTTGTTAGCAGACTGAACGGAGTATAAAATGTTTGAGTCAGTCTACTATTACATTATTTGAAAAAAACAGACTTATAATTGTTACTTGACCAATATCCAAAGAAGTAACAAGAAATCAAGCAGGCACACAATGTTGTTTCACTGAACTATAGTTGATTTTGGTCAAGACGTTGATCAATGTTATTTCAACATTGTTTCAACACAATATTTTCAAAGTTGAATAAATGGTGATCCCTGATGTTGTTTCAACATTGATTTTTTCCCCCTATTTTCAACCAAAGATAGTTTATATATAATTAATATTTTTAATGACCTGGATGGTTGATTATCAGGAGAAGAGGAAGGTGCATGTACAACTCAAATGAGATATAATGTTCCAAAAAATTTGTTTTCTTTCTTTGCTTAAGAAATTTCTATAGTTGTTTCACCATTGATTCTACACTACTTCAATGTTGATGTGCCTGCTGGGAAGAGATTTCTGATTTGGTTGGGGGAGATCTTTATAGTATATATGGAGAAAATAGGGTCACATGATACTAATGTTCAAACAAATACTTGATAAGATGTGTTTTCAAGCCATTTTAATTTACTAATTCATGATAATGACTGCAATGAATATAATTCAAAGAAAAAAGAAAACAATGATACATAAGCCATAAACTATTTAAACAATTAACATTAGTAAGTCAGCAATGGAAAATAAGTTGTTGATGTGAATCATACTAAAAATTATAGGGAAATGATATAAGCAAAAGAAACCGTTTAAAAATGTTTTTCTCCCATAAGTGATATAAATATTTCCACCAGTTCACTGTCTACCTCCAGATATGATTCTGATGTAGCTTTAGTTGTTTGAATTAAACTTTGGCTCAGAAAACATTAACCGAGAAAAAATACCCAAAACGGAACTGACTGATAATATGTATTATATAAATGTTACAAAATGAACCCTTTCATAACTTAGAAATTGAATATCAGATTAAGTTTGTTTTTTGTACTCATTGCAGAACAAAGGTTGTGGTCCCTGACCAAGAATCAAACCAACTGCAAGAACTCTTTGCCAACAAAGCTTTTTAACTAGTTGAACTGCATCTCTATGGTAAGCCACCCAATTTTAATTGTCAGAGCTTAAAAACAGTAGACTACATGAGCATGTTTTGGAATTACAACATCTCTGCATACATGGGCGTTTTCCAGTCAGCCCAGTGTGTTACCATTGTATACAGTAGTGATAGAACCAATGCAAGAACACACTGTTTTCCATCCAAAAACTGACGTGCTCTTGCTTGGACAGTGCCAATTATATACATCACTAGTTTGTAATTATGAATAGAGGGTTACTAAGATTCTAGTATAGCTAGTGTTGCTTCAGCTGCAGTGTGTCAGCTGAGGGTTAACACATGGCTAGCAATGCACCCCAAGATAACTGACTGAGAATTGTACAGAAAATATGGCCTCAATACAGTGTTAGAAACTCTGTAAATTGCAGATATAATTTACCAATTTAAATTACTGTGGTAAAGTCATTGATGTGTCTTTCACTTGCTGCAAATGGAACGAATTTGTGTATGAATTGGAAGATGTCCATTGGGTTTGGCATATTAAAGTTGTCATCTGGTTATTGTTAACTCAGGCTGAATATTGAGAGCAAAACTATGGAGCATTTAAGAAGGTGTCATCCACCTTCAAGATACTGATGAAGCTTACTTTGAAAGGCAATGGGATGACATTTTAGCGTTTGATTGTGTCAGTGATAAAAATTGTGGTATTAAGGTGCAGAGATATCTAGCTGATAAGTTTACAAGTATCAACAAAATGCAGATTCTGGAAATTTTATGCACAGAATAAATAGCACATGGAAAGCAGAGGAAAAGCAAACAAACAAAACACTAGTGAACAAATTTCTATTGACACTAAGGTTTGTGAAACTACCAAAGTGGTCTGCTTCTCGTTCACAGATTGACTATAGTGGCAGTTAGGGTGAAAATAAAAAAAATTGTATAATGTCTTCACAGGACAGAAAAAAAAGGAAGTTCACAAAGGAAAAGACGAAAAATTTAAACAAAACATGCAGTACTACAGACTTCAATGCTGCATATGTTACCAACTATTACAGAAAGTTTATGGGGGAGAAAAAAACCTTAGTTCATACTAATTTGTACAAGCATCTGTATCACTCCTTAGAGATGGAGTCCCCTGGTGAGACAGCAGTAAGTCTATGGACTTACAACACTACAATCATGGGTTCAATTCCCATCAGTGGACACAGCATATAGTTCAATGTGACTATGCTATTAAAACACACACACACACCTTCAGATGGACTCACTCTTCTCCATGGGAGAATAGACATAAGGCAAAAGTTATACGAGTTCTTAGCTGTTGCGTATGCAATCTTTAACTGAGTAAAAGGTTTAGTATATGTTTACAGCCTTTTAACATTTGGTTTAATTAGAATGTCATAATTACATTGAAAACACCTACACAAAATTTTAGAAAAAATTCTATACTAGTTATGAAAGAATGAAATTCATGACTATATAAGGCATTACAGTGTTTCAGTGAGAAAGGCAGGCTTGAAACTGAAGCTAGAAAAGTATGCAGTTATATGTGTTCAGGTGGAGTTTCTTGGCCACATGAATGGATTTCTACTAATCCTGAGAAGCTTGCATTGGTTAAAAGTTGGCCACAGTCTGTGATAAGGAAAAATTTTTGCAGTTTCCTAAGCTATGGATTGTATTATTGACTTCTTTATGGTCAACTTTTCCAAGATATCAGCAACAGTATCAGTTTATAAAGGGTGTTTAAGTCAAAGTTCCATTGGTACTTTATCTTTGTCAAAATTGTTCATTCTTTGTGATACTAATGCCAGTGATATAGTGGAGTCAGGGTGTTATTCTCTTGGCATGAAACACGTTATTGTGTATACAATCATTCACTGATGGCTCCTGAATGTTAGTTCTGTACTACTGCTTCTTGCCGTTGTAGTGTTTGTAAACAGTTATTGCCACTACTCGTATGCTAGGAAATTCAACATTTATGTGGATCATGCATCACTGAAACAGCTCATAAGTTTCAAAAACTCAGAAGATGTGGAAAATGAAGTTTAATAATAAAGATGAAGATGATTGAACTAATACAAAACAGTGCAATGTTGAAGGATACTTTGTTAGATACCATCTTCTATAGGGTGGCCAGGTTTCCAAACCGAAAAACCAGGACATCTCAGCCCTTGTCCATAATTTCAAAATGGTTCATGTGAAACTCCCTTTCCTTTGAGCTCTTCTTATAACTGCAGTTGCTTCATCAATCTTTTTCTGTCTAGTTCTTCCAAATTTCTACTACCTGATATGTTTCCTATCATCAAGTCATATAGTGGTTTCTTCATAGATACGGCCCCAAGGTCTCCTACATAATATGGAGTATCCATCTTTATTTTTGCCATGAAAAAATATCTCACTGTCCCATCAACTAGAACACAAATTTGCTTTTCCTGTCATCTGATAATCGGATACTAGACTGGCTCTCACTGCTGCACTACTGCACCCAGTGTCTCGTAGAACCTTCACTTCCTGTTTCCAACATAGCCTTCACATATTGGCATACTGTGATTTGTTGTCACCTCTTGATATTTGTAACATGCTCCAAACATTATTGGAACTATTGATCCATTTGCTAACTTGAGCTGACCATTATTCATGCACTGATCAATTATGCTTTCTTGTATTGAATCTGACCAGTAGTCTTGATTCTCTTTCATTTGGCAGCAGCCTCCATAGTGCCAGTCACTATTTTCTTGCTTCCTACCAGTAACATCTCTGCAAATAGCTCCAGCTGCTTTATGTAGAGACCTCTGCTGTTGTTTGCTGGTAATGGACTTGAACTCCTCTGTAATGTGTCCCATTTTATAATAAACATAGCATCTCTTCTCCCTTCTAACTATTAACCTCCTATCACCATTGGTAGACTCCTGCTTCTGGTCAGCTATTACTGGTTTCAAATTTAAATGGGTATTTTTGGACTTGTCAGTTATACTACCTCCATGGGCTTCCATATATTGTTCTGCCAGCTTGATCATCTTGTCTACATCCTTTGGTGCTCTCGATTTTAGGAACAGTGTCATGTCCCTTGAACATGTGGTCATGAATTTTGCTAATAGGTCTGCCAGTCCCTTAAAACTATTTTCATACATGGCCATATCAGTCGATCTGGAGAAATATCGCCGCAGACGTGCCACAAACTGAAATACAGTTTTGCCAGTGTCGAGTTTGACTCCTCCAAGCTTCCGACGAAAACCTTCTTAGTAAGTTCATATCATTTCAGTAAAGCCACTTTTAACTTGTCATAGTCCATGGTATCTTCTGATGTCATGCCTGCATATACTTGTAGACCTTTTATTGTGAGAAGTGGGCTGAGACAGACTGCCCAGTTGCCTTTGTTCCAATTCTGACTTTGGGCAAATCTTTCATATCTCTCCAGAAAAGCATCCATGCCATCTTTATATTCATCAAATTTGGGCAGCTTGGGTCTCAGGGGCAGATTTAATGGTCAGTTAAAGCTGACCAGGCCCCTATTTGCTTTCACTTGATGTATAATATTGGTGTGAATAGAGCCTGCCAGGCCCCCATTTTGTTTTAGCTGACTAGGCATTTAGGCTTAAATCCACCCCTTTACTTGAAGAACTCCAGGTAGAAGTTAACAAAGAAAGCATATCTGAATTCAACAAGTAAGTTGAGTTTCTTTGTCCCGTTAACAGCATCACCTTGTTGCCGTTGGTCTGCTGCTACATTTAGACAATGTCAACTTGACCAACAAAGGATATTATAGTGCTAATCTATTTAACCTGAAAAGCTATATGTTTCTGCAACATTTTCTCAGGCAGAATAGACATCATCTGCTATAGACAACAAAAAACAAAGGGACTAGAACAAGATAATTTCAACGACTTTCTCTTCCGCATGTTTATGATAAAACTGCATATACACCAAATAAACATAAAAATGTCAAAATTTCTATTTCACTAAAGCAGGTAAAAAAAACGTATATATTCACATGTCATACCAGAACCTACACACCATGTAGCTGTAAAGACTATGTAAGCAACAGGGGTGACTATCCATATAGGTTATCAAGTTCTATTTTTCATTATGTGTGAGCTCTCTACCAGTCCAAACACATATTCATTAAAGAAAGCTTATCAGTTGAAAGCCCAGCACATACCAATGCAAGAAGATCAAGTTAAAAGTCTGGTAAATAACATTTCAAAAGGATCCGGTTAAAAGTCTAATACAGCGAATCCAGTTGAAAGTCCAGTACATTTTGTGAAAATTCATTTCAAAGCCCATTGCATATCAGTTCCATAAGATCCACTTATAAAACCCAGTACATACTATTGCAATAATATGCAGTTGAAGGCCCAATTCATATCAATTTCACTGAAAGACATGTACATTTCATCTAGTTTCAAGTCCAGTATTTATTAATCCAAGATAATCCCACTGAAAGTCCTGTACATTTCCAGTATTCATCAGTCCAACTAAATCCAGATGAAAGCCCAGAACATACTAATCCAGAAGAATTTAGTGGTACATGTTATTCCAAAAAGATCCACTTGAAAACCCAATACATATGAATTTAGTTGGAATCAAAGTTAAAATCAAAATGAATCCAGTTGAAATCCTAGTATACATCAATCTCAGTGAACCCAGTTAAAAACCCAGTAAATAATAATACCAGACAATCCAGTTAGAAACCAGTACATATGAATCCAAAATATCCATTGGAAATTCCAGTAATATTATTCCCTTTCTCCTAGTATTGTTCTTCAAGCTGCTACTAAATAAAGTGACATTTACAAAGGTTGATGGTAACACCTTTATAACACATCTGTTAAATTCAATTAACATTTCAAAAACAAAAAATATGTATTTCATTTAATTTCAGTTTAAACAATTGTAATATGATTATCGAAACCTATGGTTATGAAAAGCTATGATTGTCTTTGTGAACAAGTAAATAATGAAATTTATAAGTTTGATAAAACATTATTATTACCTGATAATGTTGTTGGCAGGGTGACAGTGAAGATAAGCATCCAGATTAGAAGATGCATCTTGTTGACATGAAACTTTAGTACATGATGAATGAATGTCATCTTGTTGACATGAAACTTTACTACATGATGAATGAATGTTACTAACATTCTAAAATCGTAAACCTAGATTTGTTCTACAAAGTACATGTAGATTAGTTATACAACTGTTGTTGACAGGAAGTGTATGGAGGAAGTACTGGAAAACAGAGGGGAAGTTTGAATCAATTATATAAACTAGATACACCGAGTTAATCTTTTTTACTGACTAAACACATTTGAAGTGACACAGGAAAAAGTAGCAATTTCTTAGAACATTAAATCTGAAAATACAAGGGAATGAAGGAAAGCAAATAGAAAAAAAGCCACAAGAATGCATCCAGTAATGATCAAACTGTATAACTCAGACTACAAATTCAAACTGTTTGTAACAATGTCACACTGCTGAATTAAATTAAATATAAGTGCTTTCAACTCATCATGAACAATAATGGGACAAGATATAGAAATCTTCACATTTTAAAAATTACATTATAAACACATTTTTACAAAAGAAAGCTGGATAAATAATTATATTGGTGCTTTTTGTAATTTGTTTTATATTGAAAATCTGCTTCTTCTTCCTATATTAATTTAATGCATTATGGTAGTTTGAGAATTTAAAAAAAAAATAGCAATACCTCCCATGCACAGAATAGGTATTATCTTAAGAGAATAACAAAGGCAGTTAGAAAGAACTCAGTGGTTTTCTGGAACACATTATGAAAAAATTGCATAGATTCAGAATAAACGAAAAATTGTTAAACATTTCCACATTAAAATAAGAAAGTATAAAATGCACGATATGCTTGCATACTACACTTCTCCTTCTGTTTCAGACTTATCCTCAAGCCACCAATTAAATTTAACTTTTAAAACCAATTAACTTTATACTTATGACATGGTCAAGGAATGAGTCAACTGTCTCTCACCCCTATAAACATTTATATGCAACATAACCCTTAAACATAGAACCACGATTTACAAATGAAGCCCCTTTAACAAAGATGCAAATATTAATCAATGATGAAACAGTAAAGTAATAAAAAGAAAACCTTTTGCAATTATTAATTAAAACACACTTTACCAGCAATAAATATTAAAAAAAAACTTTTAATTATTAACTACATAAAAACATATATTAAAATACCTTTTACAAAGTGACACAACCCCTCAAGGCAATTAAACATACAGCAGAAATGGAGATCCATCCTGCCACTAATGTAGATACCTCTTCAGTCTTCCAGAGTGATGGGGGTATTGGTGGTTACTGAGTTGGCTGTCTTGTGTGTATTGCTATTCTGGTGTTGGTCTTGGTGGTAAAATAGGACCAGGTGATATGAACCATGGCAATAATTGCTGTCACCTGGAAACCCATCCCACCCTCACCTTGCCATAGTCTAGAAAGGATCCATGCTTCTGAAAAGTTTTCTTTGGTTTTGGTATATAATGCACCTACTTAAGGTGCAAGAGCATCTGGCAATATCAATGTTGGTGACAATACACTATCCAAAAGGATATCTTAGAAGTGGGTCCTGCTTTTTCTGCTATACTGATACTAACTCAGCCTTGAGAAGCATTAGCAGGAGTTGCATAATCATCTGCTGGGTTTAACTCCTCTGGAGTTGAGGAGATGGCGTCACCACTCTTCCTTCTGTGACCATTACATCTAGTGTTGAATTCTGTGGGACCTCCTGTTGCTTGGCCCCAGGTGATTTTAGGGTCAACCAATTGACAGATGTGGTAATTTGTCCCATGTCCTAGGCATTGGCTAGCAATGAATCATCATCTATAAGCTTTGCCATGGCGATCGTCAGGCCAGTTCCAGAAGTCTGAGGATCAGTGGCATAGTTTGCTCCTTCACTATGGAAAAGTCTTGGGTATATTGGTCCTCATCAAACAGACAGTTCGTTATGCAGTTAAGGATATGAATGAAGATATTCAGGAACAAGGCAAACACTGGCTGGTTGAAGAAAGAGATAGCCAGAATTGTCAACATTTCAATCATAAATAGCAAGACCACACACACACAGATTTATTTATCAGTGTATTACCACATATATATATATATTAGTCCATTACACATAGTTACACTATAGTAGTTTATCACAGACTGCCTCTGGATTCTACACAAATTACCCCAGTAACATTCTTAAATTACTTTCCAAAGCTTTGATTAGGTACCCGTGGTCCTATAAGGTGCTGCCATTTAGAAGCCATCAAACTCAATTTGTCTTTCTTTTTGGACATCGTGAAATAAATAATCACTGGCAGAATTCAGCAAAACTATGACTTTTCAGATAAAATTCTCTTCAGTCAGGATTAATACTCATACTGTTACCACTATATCCCACCATATACTCAGAAAAAATACTGCATGTACAATCATTATACTACTTCAGGTACAAGGGGGAAGAATCTTGTGAGTGCCTAGCAGTATGCTCTGTAAAGCTTTAGCCACTCAATTAAATCAGGGGAATGATTTTATCAAAATGTAGGCTGACATTTTGCATCAGAAAATTTCACTCGGTGGCTCAAAAAAGCAAGGGTTGCTCACCCTTCCGTCATTGCTTTTTCAACCACATGACTGAAATAAGTTGAGTAGCAATCAAGTGATATCTTCTTTAGTGAAAAAAGGGTTGCAAAGCCCTTTCAATGATTAGCTTGTCACACCCATAATAATCAAAAGGGTATCATCAGGAGTGTGGCCAACTACAAGAGCTGTCTTTTACCTCTAACTCCAGTGTTTCCTCATCTGGCACCAATCAGTGGTATTCTCAGGTTAAACTGATTTCCACACAGAGTATTAAGTAGACACTTTACAATGGAAGGACAAATTATGAGGTAATAATGAATTAATTTAAACTGACCGAGTTTAAGAAATAATTAGGTTGGTCAGGATGTGCAATACAAAATGAAAATAATCTTTATTTATTAACAAAGATAAAAATACAGTGTGAATACCTGCATTGGATGATAACTTTTCATTGGACTCGTGAACTGATTAACCTATTTTCTTCCCTCAAGATGTGTTTCTGTCAAATAATTTGCTTAAGATCCGTTGCGGTACTATCATTTCTTAGTTGACAAGAAATGTTGGAATTACCAATAGGAACTAACATTATTCACATGACTGGTCATTCTCACGTGAGATGCCATAATTCCGAGATAGTACTTGGCCTATCAGTGAAGGATATTGCTGTAGTCTACATACCTGCACAATGTGCAGCATTACTGCAATACCTCCAATGGACAGAACAGGTATTATTTCCGGAAAATAACAAAGGAACAAAATAAAGTTAATAATTTTCTGGACCTTATATGAAAACTGGATACACTCAGAATAAACGAAAAATTTCTAAATTAAAATAAGACAGAAAATAAGTTATATGATGGGAAGGGATTAATTATGCCATTTCCACACTAAATCACAGGTTGTGCATATTGTTTTATATTCCATGCGGAGTTAAAGTTGGACAGTGTATTATACATAAGTTAGAGTTTTATTATAGGTTATGTAATGTTAAACGCTAAAAGAAGTTTTACACAGCAGGTTATGCAATTTATTTTCAGGCACATTATGCTACTATATTTATCCAAAAAATAAAAACAACATTTTTGGCACATTGAAAGATAAAATCTTTATTGGAAATTTCAGCCGATGAGTTTTGGTGGCACAAGTTTTAGCTTATACTGTTCTGGAATCAAACTTAAAAGCTCAGCTAAAAATCTAAGGCTGTTATATTGTGTTTTTAAGAAAATAATAACAATATATATACATCCTAGAATTACCCAGATTAACTAAAAAATCATAGTTTGATCTTATACTGCAGGTCCAGAACTAGAGCAAGGTTAACATCATATTGAACAAAAGTTTTGAAGCTAAAACACTATGGTTCTGTCCATGTTGTTTATACAAAACAAACAAATAAAAAGTCGTCATCAGCACCTGTACACTGAGGTTTTATCAATAAAGCAATGTTATCATCATCTGCACCCTAATGTTTTACCTGCGCTGTTATATATATACACCTGGAAAAAAGTTAAGCACCTCCGTGTTTTTTTCAAGTGATTCAGATTCGACGTTCTTGTGACTGATTATAAA